AATGACATCTGACTTTAAGTTAAGTACAAATTATTCGCTTAAAGCTGTGTTTGCACTCTACAGAACTTCCTAACTAACGTTCGTAGCTCCTCTAACGTTTATTAGTACCTTTTCTCATCCGGATGGATTAAGCATATTTTATTTTTTTTTTTTAATTTTCTTCTTATATATAAATAAGTATATCTAATATGTTCTTATAATTGTAGATTTAAAACATGTTACAATATTTTAGACCTTACAAACTTTTAAAAATTTAAAAAAGAAAAGATTTTTTTCTTTTTGTTTACTTTGACTAAAGTGTGCATAAAACAAATCAAAATAAAGACCCATGGGTCTGTAATCATGATTCTTTTTTAATATCCTTATCATTCCCACGAAAAAGAAACAACAATTCCTAAACTTACCCTTTCTTAAAAAGGAATCCATAATTAAAAAATTAACTTTCATTAAATGACTTTAATTTTGCTATTTTTATTAATCCGTCAGATTATATAAAGAGGAAAGAGGTTTTTGATTTTTGCAGAAAAAGAAAGAATTAGAAAAGATTACGGAAACTTATAAAAGTGACCCTTGTTTCATTTATCCAAAAAAACTTGCTTGAAAAAAAAATTTTATTTATTCGTCTGTAGATTTAAGATAAACTTGGAAACTCGGAAAGAAATTGAAATTGATAAAAAAAATCTATCATAATTTTTTTTTTCTTATTTGTTTTTTTATTTTATCAGCGGCACGTGTTTAACATATTTGAAATTAATTTGCAAGATTATGCGGTTGAATTGACTGTGATTATTATTAAGTTCAAGTAATTGAAAAAGGAAATAAAAAAAAAATTGTTCTTTACACCATTTTTCAATTCAATAATATCAAAAAATTCGTGATATTCTCTTTTGGGTAAAGTGTTAAGCTGAAAAAGGCGTTAGCAATAATATTTATTCTATACCTATTTATCACATTATATAATATACATACATTTATGTACTTGGTAAAGATTGGGGATATAAGCACATACAGATAAAAATTCTATCTGACAAGTTGCAACCCCATAAGTATAGGATAGTGATAACATCAACTTGTTCGCGGTATGACGGCGTATGAACATGCTGGTAGAACTTGTTCATTTTTTAACTTTTTCAATTAGAGAATTTAGAAATCTGTACGTAAATGCAAGCTCTATAGCATTTAAAAATATAATTTCGGTAGAATAATGAAGCCAACTTGAATATTTAAAAGCTAATATCGATTTGGAAATTAATAACAACGCAATTTATCCATTGTTTTACCATTTTACTCATTTTTTAAAGAACAGTATTGCAGGTTAGTTTGAATTAATTTACCTAGCATTGTAATTAGTATATAACTCGTTGTATTTGAATTAAATCAAAAAATTTTCAATATAAATTGATATTTTTAAAATATTTAACAAAGCCATGAACTCAACTTATATACAAATAAATTTATAATCTACTTTATTCAGTAATTAGAATTGTGTCGTTGAAAAACTCAAATTTATGTCAAATAATTACAAACGAACTAGCAAATTCATTCCACATATGTATATATTTTATATTGTACGTTAATATTGTGTTTTAATGTTAGTTTTTCTGTGTAGATATTTTTATCCTTGCATTTTTGTTATTTTTTTCATATAATACTCACGCGTATATCAGATACTGAATTTATAATATGTATGTATGTATTTTATTTCAATTTATATTGTAAGAATATAAAATCTGCAAAAAATTTACAATAAAAATAAATTCAATGACCAAACCCAAACAGATTTTTTTTTGCTTTCTACAACGCTCTATAATCTATATAAATATAAAGTACTGTAATACTTAATACATTCAATTATTCATACATCTATAATTACAAATTCTGAAAATTTTATTTACATATAAACATGTTAATTATATTTATAAAATTTCGGAAGTCAATATGCAATAGTTAATAGGATTTAGATGAAGATAAATCGAACAAATAAGAAGAGATACATATGAATAAAAAAAAAATTATTTTTCTAATTCTATAGACTCTGATGTTATATATAGACTCACACATAAAATAAAATTTATTATTTTAACACTTTTTATACACCATACTCAAAGACATTATGCTCATAAGATGTATACCTACATATATTATAATATAGGGTGGGTCACTTGTATATGAAGAAAATTAAAGATTATTTGTTTTGTATACGCACTATAATCGTGAAATAATATTGCCTTACGTTGGTAGAGCGTCCCCATAGAAAGTAGTAGGTCACTGAATCGAGTCCAGTTCAAGGAGAAATTTTTTTTTTAATTTTTCTGCCTTTAACTTGTTCCTTTGATTACGTCATCCATCTGTTCTGCAGTTGCATGAAGAATGTTCCATTAAAGTTAATACTACTTCAGTAACTTAACTACTTCCATTACTAAACTAATTCAATAATTTCAAGAAATCCTATAATAGGACCCTATTGTAAAAATTTTTTGTAATTGTTAAGGAAGCCATTAACTGACTCTAATAACTTCAATATAGTACTGACTCTTAAACTAAAAGAATAAATCAGTGACATTTCAAAAGTGGTAGATACCCTTAAGAAAAAGTTAATATTTTTTTCATTGGCACCAATGGATTTCAAAAAATAATATACATACATATATATGTATATTGTGCTGACCCACCTCAATAAGCAATACCTATATAAAGTTGCTCATATACAAAATATATGTATAATCAAAAAGATTATAGAATTTATCACTTTTTACCATATTACACTTTTAAAAAGTCAGGATTTCTAAATATTCTTAGATTTTTTTTTTTGGTCACGTGCACATTTTAACCATAACACGCGACAAGAATTTTTTTTGTGAATTCCTAAAAAAATAATAGTCTTAAATATGATATTATGTTTATTAAATAACCTTCTTTATTAAACCTAAATAATTTTAATATACAAAATATATAAATAATTACATATACATATCAACCAACCTGTTCTTTTTACCCGTATTATAATATTCTATATAATTTTATTATTTTTTTTTATTTATTTTTATTAAGCTAATAATAAATTTGTAACATATAAATAATGCGTCACCAAAAAAAATGTGACACCAAATCATATTAATATTGGGATTTTGAAAGCTTTAAGAAATGCACGCATGTGACTTCTATTTTTGATTAATATCTTTCAATCTTATTGTCAAAAAAATTTTACTAAAAAATAAAGTTTAGACCTGTCTTGCAATATTTCTGTATACCCGAACATTTCTCTCAGTTTCTAGTATAAAGCTGAAGATATTCCCAAGATGGAGGAATTAGACGGCAGTTCACGAACACTCAAAAAACGCCGCCCAAAACAATTTCGACGCCGAACAGCCAGTATGGGGTTAGTGGGGAAGGATGTGCACGGCGATTTCGTCACTGTCCTCATAAAATCTGCAAAGGAGGAGTACAAAACACAATCAATTAAGAATGAACGAATACTGCGCGCAAAGAAATGAAGTATGTATGTATATACTTTTGAGGAAAGACATTGCAGTCAGTCAAACCAACAATTATTAAAATGACTCTATGTCAGAAATGAATTATAATAATTTCTCTCCTCCGAAAACATATAGTAAACCTAAACCTAAACTGGGCCTAGTCTATAGAATAGTAAGAGAATAAGAACTGATAATATATTAAATTATATCGTTAACACCGCTAACATTAAGTATACATAACTTAAAATTTTAAGAGAAAAAGGATAATTACTTGTTGGATTTATACATATTTGGTTAAGGGAAAAAATTTTTGTAAAAAAAAAAAAAATAAAATAAAAAATCTTCTTTAATCTCATCATTCAAATTTTCACCCTTTATACACACACTATAAATATTCTATAAACTCCGCCTTTATGAGGGTTGTACCTGGATATTTTCATTTTATATATAATAACTAGTGTCCTTTCTGGTTTTTTGTAAAAGAAAATAAATTTCTGCAAAAAAGGATTTTTAGTTTTTATAAAAATTTCAATTGTGTAAGTGTTAAAATAAGGACAGAATATTGAAATTTAAATAATATTAATTAAAAATATATATATATACCATTAATTGAATTTAAATAATTAAAATAATTGAATTAAAACATTTTAAATTGAAATTTACATAAAATTTAGTGAAAAAATTGTTTTTTTTTTTTTAATTGAATGAAAACTGTTTCAAATATTATTTAATAGGAGTGTTGAATTAATTGAATATTGGGATGTAAGGGGACTCAGATTTTAACGCAAAATTAATAAATAAGAAATATACATAATTAAAAATATAATAAATATAAAAATAATTAATATTGTCACAAAAATCATAATTGAATTTTAGTTACAATTAATAACTAAAGTTCATTACACAATTTATTCTGAATTTAGAATAAAATTTCAATTGGAACTTAATGAATTCTATATACGCCCTTTTTATATTAAATTCCCATTTAATTTTGAAAACTATTAAAATTCCATGAGATTTAAAGTAAAGTTAATTCAAAGAATTCTAACAATTATTATCAATATTCATAAAATTAAAGCAAAGTTTTCAATTTAAATTAAAAATTTAATTAGATAAAGAAAAATATTTAAAAATAAAAAAAAAATTATTTGTATGTGATAAAAATAATTTGAACTTTAAGTAAATGTTTACATTAATATACTAAGTAGTAATTGAAAATAATTAAAATTTGTTCTTACAAAAAAAAAAAAAAAATCTGGGGATTTTTTTCAAATTTATCTTTTGCAAAAATTTAAGCTCTGATATTATAATGATGGTTACATCATCATAAAAAAGTACAATACATTTAATAAACATACATATATACGTATATATTATAATTTTTTATAATAATAATAAAAGAAAGGAAGAAAAAAATAATAAAAATTTTGATAAAATTTCATAAGTTTAAAATTACCCTTTCCTCAAAATTTAATTATATCAAAATTGTTGATATATTACAAAAAAACTTAAAACATAATATAATATCAAGGATGTCATCTATTAATAATGAATTAAATGAACAACAAAATGAAAGTGGACGTAGTTCAACATCATCAACATCAAGCTTTACAACATACACAAACGAACGTACTAAAAAAAATTCTATAAAACCAATTCAAGTATCAGGTTTAACAAATTTACCGTCGGCAATTACCAGTAACGGTAATAGTAATGTATTAAATGGTAATGATAATAATTCTTTAAATGGTATCAATCGTATAAGTCCATCATCAAATTCAAGAAGTGGTGGTGAATTCAATACAAATTTGAATGCTGATTCAATTTTGTCAGATGAAGAACTTTCAGATTATTCATTTTATAGTGATGATGATGAATTTTCCCAAATAAATAATAATAATATTCAAAGAAGTCATTCAGTTTGCAGTGGTGGTAGTATTAGCGGTGGATCTTATGATAATCAAAATGGTGGAAGTATGTTTTTATTTTATTTTTTTTTTTTTTCTGTTCCTATAGAGTTTTTTTTTTTATTCTTTATTAAAATTTAAATTTATTTTTATTGTAGCATTAAAATCAATTAATTCGAATTCTTTAAATCAATCAATAAGCAATCATTCAAATTTATTATCAGCAAATACGACATCATCATCTACAACAATTAATACACAGCAATCATCAATAACATCAGATATTGAACAATTTACACCACGTAACGGTATTATACGTAAAATGTATACGAATACAAGAGAACGATGGCGTCAACAAAATGTATCTGGTGCTTTTGCTGAATTACGGAAATTAGTACCAACACATCCACCAGATAAAAAACTTTCAAAAAATGAAATATTAAAAATGGCAATAAAATATATTAAATTGCTAACAAGTGTTTTAGAATGGCAAGATCAACAAGAAGAATTAAATTCTAGACGTGAAAATGAACCAAATAATAATGGTTATAGAACAAAAAATGAAAATCTTCTATATCAAAATAAATTCAATAATCAACAAATAATAAATTCAACATATAATAATAATAATCATATTATGAATGGTATATCAATAAATGGTACATCAATTGAAAAAATTTCAAATATTAATCAAACTAATAGATTATTAATGATAGCACCATCTCAACAATCTCAACCATCTCAATTAAATTTAAATACAATTATTAAAAAAGAAATTTTAGAAGATTCATCAACATCAACATCGACAAATCAAATTCCAAGTAATAGTTCTGAATTGATTAATAAAAATTTGAATTTATATCAAAATTCTATGGTATTATCATCACAATCTTCAAGTATTAATACACAAATTTTAATGAATACAGCAATTGGTTCGAATATCAGTAACAATAATAATTGTCAAACTATTACAATTTTAAGAAATAGTATTCCTTCCAATATTGATACAAATAATATTAATCCATTAATTAAAATTGAAAAACAAAATGGAAATTCTCAAAGTAAATATTCTAAAAATAAAAGAAAATTAAATGGTAAATCTACTGCTATATTAGAGAATTCAATAAAACGTAAAAAAGACGGACAGAAAAGAATTTAAGTTTAATTTTAATTAATTTAATAAAATTAACTATAATACAAAATTCAAAATTTAACATGTGCAACATATAAATGTTTTAACGATTTAAAGGATATTTAAATAATTAAATAATCGGTTTTAATAAACCATTAATATTATATTCACATTTGTAAAAAATTACACAAAAATATAAATGTTTATTATCATGTCATATTAGGCAAATACAATAAATGTTCTATTAAAAATATATTATTAAATTAATTAGTATTTAATACTTTTTTTGCATAATCTGCAATATGAATCACTCCACTTTCAAATGTTGCAATATGTAAATTGTTACCGTTACATGTTTGATTATTTATATGTGTATTATGTAGTTCAGTTATAAGAGTACTACATGCAGCTGCCGGATCACCACTAGCAGCTAAAAAACCCTAGAAACCAAAATAAATTATTACCCCTTGATACACCTCTTTTTCATTATACTATATTAAAAATTAAAAAAAAAAGGATATACCATCCAAAATTCATTGCCTGGCAATGCATTCCCATCCCAGGCATAAGAAGCAACAAGAAGACAATCAGAAAATTCCTTTTCCTACAAGAGTACAAATATAAGAAAATAATTAAAATTTAAAACTGCTTAATGTAAGTCCAAGATGTTGATACTACAAGCTTTATTATTATTAATCATACCAATTTTAAATGCGGTTCCCTATTTGAATACAAAAATTTTATTCCACCATATGGATGATCTTTTATTTCAAAAAATTCACCCAATTTTAATTTTTCATTCATATCATCTTTTAGAATTCTTGCAAAATTAATACACTTTACATGCTTTAATTGATTTTTTAATAAATAAATGCGATTTTTAAAAGTTTCCAAAAATATGTTTTCCTGTTCCTTACAACATTTCCATACACCAAGACCAATTCCAACAACATGAATAAATGCTGGTTTTTTAAGAACAGAAGCTCTTGACTCAGCATCTAGGAGGAGTGTATCAAATGATATAGCATAACGTTTTTTCATAATTAATGTATCAAATAATTCCAATGGTCTTGATCTACATATTGTTAAACGACCGTTATTATTTTCACTAGCAAAATATGAAACTGCTTTATTATACTCAAAATCGGTTTCATTGTAGAAATTATTCCACAACTTGCGATACTCAATTTTTTTCTTTATCATTTCGTCATCAGGAATATTTGGAGTGTTAATAAGTTCAAATTTTTCATCTAATTTATAATAACCATATCCATTTTCTTTTTTGTTTTGTTTTTCTTCTATTAAGATATCTTGATATTCCATTTCATTTGGACGTTCAAATCTTGCTCCAATCAAACCAATAATTACACCATCTTTTTCAATATTTTCGTTGCTTTTGGGAATTTTCCCACAGTTATTTCGACTACCGCTATTAATGAATTCGGTATGGGATGAAACAGACAACAGCGCGGATAACTTTATTGAATAAGGTTAATTTAAAAAAAAAAATCAAAATAAAAAAAATACGATTTATTTATTACCTTCACTTCTTCATAGCTCAAATATTTATTTAAATCAGGCTGTTGTTTATATAATTCACTACCTCTCGTACCATCCAAAAGTAAGTATGAATCAATGCCATCCAAAAAAGCCACACATCTTTTTTCCAGTAAACGTTGAACAAATTCACATATTGTCATATTTTGATAAATTTTTTTTTCAGATTTGTCTCCTAGAGTGCACGTATTGTTATTATTATTTTTTTTTTGTTTCAAAACGCTTTTAACTTACCATATGCAATTTTATGCTCCAAAAAATTCACATAAAGCCATAAAACTCTTTCATGTATAATAGGCCTTACACTATTAGCTTGAAATTCAATTCCGAGATATCGGTCTTTTGGCTGTGATTTTATTTTACATGTATTTATGGGAAACTTAAATGAATCATTAACTGAAACTTAAATGAAACTAATATAAAAACATTCTTACCTCAATTGGAAATGCATTTGATTTTTCAATTATAGCATCCAACATTATTTGGTTTGGGGCTCTTATATTTATACAATGTTTTAGCATATCATTCACAAATGGTGTTACTTTTTGGGAATTTTCCTTGACACCCTGCTGTTCAGCCTCGATACAGGAATTGGGAAAGCAAAGATCGAAATTTTTAGCCATTTTGTGGTTTAAAAAGTTGAAGAATACTCCAATAGATGGTGGAAAATAAGAATTTTATTCTGAAATTAAAAAAAAAATTTTATACTTATATAAATACAAGTAAATTGACTTTTTTGTTGAAAAGATAGTTAAAATTAGTTTCTATATTTTGATAATTTAAATTTTTTATTTTTAAATCTTCATCAAGTAAATAAAACAATTTCAAATTTATATCAATTAAAATTTAATTCTCAATTCAATCTTACTCAATTTCAAACATATATCAATTTATTAAACCTTAGAACAAAAATATAAAAACAAAACTTGATAGAAAATATGTCTGCGCAGTGCTATATAACAATTTAATCTTATCTTGATGTTTAAATGAAAAACGATAATAAGTAACGTGTTTTAATTTTCACAGCATTTTTAATATTTTTTCAGCGTATTCACTTATATGAAGTACACCAAATTCTTCAGATGCAATATGTAAATTATTTGCATTTACTCGCTTTGTGTTAATATGTGGATTATGTAACTCTGTAATTAAAGTACTACATGCAGCTGCTGAATCGCTTGTTGATTTTAAATGTTTCTACAAAAATTGATAAAAAAAAATATATTAATTATAAAGTTGCATGACCAACTAACAAATAAAGTTTTTAAAAAATTTTCTATTTATACATAGAAAAATTTACCAGCCAAAATTCATTTCCTGGCAATGCATTTCCGTCCCAAGCATATGATATAACTGGCAAATAATTTTCTAATTCAGGTTGGTGCTAAAAATAAAAGTAGCCATTAGATTTAAATTCATCAAACTTAAAATTAAAATTTATTTAAAAATTATATCAAATTTACAAAATTTACAAGATTGTAGAATTCCTACCAATTTCTGATGTGGATTTCTTTTTGATACTAATATTTTAATTCCACCATTCGGATGTGAATCACTATGAAAAATTGCACCATTCTTTATTTCTTCAAAACCATCATTATTAAAATATGAAAAGTGTATAATTGAAATATTATTTAATTTTAATATCAATTTTTTAATTCTTTGTGCAAATGTTGCTAAAAATATTTTTTCTTGTTCTTTCCAACATTTCCATACTCCTAGCCCTATTCCTACAACATGAATATAAGCTTGTTTTTTTTCATTGAAAGCTCTAGCAGCAGCATCTAATAATAATGTATCAAAAGATATCGTATAGCGTTTTTTCATAACAATGCTATCGAATATTTCATTAGCATTTAATCTATGAAATCTTCCATTATCAACTTTAACGTCATTATATATAAAATCTAATTCATTATAAAAATCATTCCACATTTGACGATAATCATTTTTTGTTGCTTTTAAACCAGTTTCACTAGGATCTTTTTTACCATATCCATGTTCCTTGGTATTTTGAGTATCTGATATAATAATATCTTGTGCTTCCATAAAATTACGTTTTACCAATCTTGCCCCAATCAGTCCAATTATAACACCAGAACGTTCGATCTCTGATTTATTTTTTTCAACATGACCCTGATTATGTCTATTTCCATTATTAATAAATTCTGTGTGAGATGAAACAGATAGTAGAGCGGAAAGCTAAAAGTTAAAAAAAAAATCTATATTTAAGCATTGAATTACATCGATCTAGATTCTAGATATTAGGTGCTATCATTGTAACACACATAATGAAGCATTTATTTTATATAGCATAAATGTAAATACCAACATTAGCTCATGTAAGTATTATTTTTCGTGAATGAAAAATGTTCAATAGCAAATAAGCAAGCAAATGTACCTACCTTAATTTCGTCATAACTTAAACAATTTTTCAAAAATAAAGGTGATTTTTCTTTTAAACTTCCAACCGTTGTATGACCATTAGTACCAGTTTCTTTGGAAATCAATAAATATTTATCGTATCTTTGAAAAAAACTAACACAACGTTTTGTTAATAATCGTTGCACAAAGTCTATTAGATCCATATCAGAATAAACATTTTTTTCTGTAAGGTTGCCTTTAAAATTACATTGATTATGCACATAGTATTAGAAATTGTAAATAAATGGAAGCATACCATATTTTATTTTGTGCTCCAAAAATCGTAAATATAACCAGATAACACGTTCATGAATTATTGGATATGCCGAATTTATTTGCTCTTCTATTATTTCATATCTTTCCTTTGGTTGGAACTCAACTCTGCATGTATTAATTGGGAACTAGAAAATTAATTTAAACACATAGAAGATAATAAATTCCTCAGAAATATAAAAACTTTTTACTAACTTCAATTGGAAATTTTTGTGAATTTATAATTATTTCCGATGTTTTGGTAATTTCACTTAGTTTAGTCACTTTTTTACATTTTTTTAAAAGATTTTTTTGAAATTCAGAATATTTTGGAGCCTCTTTATCCGACCAATCCAAATTAAATTCTTTACCAAATTGGGAAACCATTTCTTAACCCTTTATTTTTACTCTTTACGTATGCACTAATTTCTATCGTGTCTTATAATGAATGAATTCATTTCAATAAGTACTTACCTATTTGAAAAACAACAAAAAGTGAAATTCTTGTTAAAGCTTTTTGCTGTTGACTAATACTGGAGAAATTTTAATCAGAAAACCGAGTAATCGCAAATTTTTGTTTTGATTTCAACTTATTGGGAAATTCCATATGGCAAATAAGCTTTTTAATTGTAAACAAATATCTATGTATTTAACTTTATTAGTATGAATATTATTTAGATTCATCATTTTATACTACATGCAATGGCACAATTTTAGTGTTTATATTGTATTCTTCAAAAATCAAGTTATTTATTATTACTAAGAATTCATTAATAATAATATGTATTAATATGTACATACAATACATACATAAATATACACATCTAAAATAAATTGAAATATAAAGATAGTGAGTGAGCTAGATAGGGAGTGTTTATGAGATACGCGATTGATGAATTCATTACCGTTTGAATGAAAAGGTTTGTCTAAGAATGAAATATTTCTGCGAACTGATTAGGTATAAGTACATAATATATATGTATGTAAAATATACCATTTCGTTTGTAATTAAAAGTCGGTTTAAACTACAATATGTATAAAATTATTTTTATTAAATCTAAAATTTGCGACAAAATATTGAAAAAAAATATCCCATATTAATTATAGTATCATGCGTTTTCTGTTAATGATTTTGTTATGTATTCACTTATATGAACTACTCCAAAATTTTCCATTGCAACGTGCAGATTCTTTCCAGTTAATCTTTTATTAATATGAGCATTGTGTAATTCAGTTATTAGTGTACTAGATGCTGCTGCAGAGTCACTACTTGAAGCTATCTGTTTCTACAATATATTAAATCAATATTCAATTTTAATTAATCAACAATAACAATAATGTGAATAGATTACCATCCAAAATTCATTTCCAGGCAAAGAATTACCATCCCAAGCATATGATACTATAGGCAAGCAATTTTTCCATTTTCCATCCTGTAAAAAAACAGAAAATTATTTATAGTTTCTAAAAAGTTGTAATTTTACCAATTTTTTGTGGGGATTCCTTTTCGATATATAAATTCTAATACCGCCATTAGGATGAGTTTCACTTATAAAAGTTGAATCATTTTTTAAATTTTCAAAACCTTCTTCTGGAAAATATGAAAGATTTATTACTGAAATATGATTTAATTTGGGTAATAATCTTTTCAATCTTTGGGAAAAGGTCGCTAAGAATATGTTTATTTGGTCATTACAATATCTCCAAACACCTAATCCAATTCCAACAACATGAATGTATGCCTGTTTTTCAGATATTGAAGCTCTTGTTTCTGCCTCTAATAGCAAAGTATCAAAAGAAATTGTAAAACGTTTTTTCATAATTATTTTATCAAAAAACTCATTTCTTTCCAATTTTAAAAATCTTTTATCATAAGATTTCACTTCAATATAAATAAAATCTTTTCTTTCTCCATAAAAATCATTCCACATTTTTCTATAATCACTTTTTGAGGTAGCTATCATTTTGTCATGTTGAAAACCATAACCATTTTTTAAATTGTTTTGTTTTTCCGATATAATAATATCCTGATATTCCATATAACCCCGTCTAACCATACGTGGTCCTATAAGTCCAATAATAATCCCAGCTTGCTCAATTTTTAATTTATCATATTCAATTTTACCCATATTTTTCCTATCACCATCATTAATAAATTCGGTATGAGATGAAACTGATAAAAATGCAGAAAGCTTATATAATTTAAAATAAAAAATTATTAAAGTTTGAATTGAAAGTAAACTCTTCTAACAACCTTAATTTCGTCATAACTGAGACAGTTCTTTAAAACTAAAGGTGGTTTCTCTTCTAAGGTTCCTACAGTTGTATGACCATCTAATCCAAACTGTTTAGAAACTAAAAGATATCTATCATACTCTCCACAGAAAGTAGCACACCTTTTTGTCAATAATCGATCTATAAAATCTATTAAATTCATATTGGAATAAACTTCTTTTTCAATTTCATTTCCTGAAAGTAAGCATACGCATGTATGTGTAAAATATGCATTAAGTTTAGTAACTTGTGAATCTTTTTCAAACTAACCATATTTGGTTTTATGTTCGAGAAATCGTATATAAAGCCAAACAACACGTTCATGAATTATCGGATATACTGAATTTATTTCTTGTTGAATTATATCGTACCTTTCTTTAGGTTGAAAACCAACTCTACAAGAATTTATAGGAAACTAAAAATAAATTTTCTGCTTTTAGTGAAAGTTAAGATAATTTTGTGATAATCTTAAATAGTCAATACATACTTCAATAGGAAAATTTTTTGAATTTGCGATAATTTCTTCTATAGTAACTGTTTCATTGGGTTTCTTTACATTTTTGGATTTTTCTAAAATATTTCGTTGTTCATCTGAAAATTTTAGTAGATTTTCATCCGGCCAATTCATATTAAATTCTTTAGATATTTTGGAACCCATTTTTAAAAATATTTTAGCGTTACAGGAATGTTGTCTATATATTCCCAATTACCAAAAATTGGAATTTAAGCAAAATTATCGTTGAAGAATAAAAAATTTTCATAAAGTATAATAATGATAAATTTTCTCAGAAATTGCAAATCTTATGCAAAAAATTTGCATAGTTAAGTTCTGTAATTTTATCGTGTGTTTAAATTTGGAATAATTTAGGTTTTAGGTTGCGCTTAAAATATTCATTAACTTTGTTTTTGAATTTACCTGTAATGCAATAAATTAATTCTATCGAAAGCATGAGTCAGTTTCTTACCAAATAGCTACAATCGACTCCTTTGTAACGAATTTATCATTCAAATGAATATTTTATTAGGTACACGTTTTTCCCAAAGTTCTTGTGAAGACTAATTTTTAATGAACACATAAGTTTCGCAATAATTATAAATAAATTCACTTACATATATTAAAATTTTGAAGCTTTTGGTAGAAAACTTTTCAAAGAAAAAACTGTGCGTACAATTTTTTCATCCAAAAAAGCTTGGATTTTTCAACCGCAATTAATATTTAAATAAAATTTCATCTAAAATATTAAAATATTAATTTAAATAAATTAATATTTTTAGGTTGCACTTAGGACATAATATTGTTTAGCACATCTAGATAAGCTAGAATATTCTTGGTACATTGGCATTGATATGATCTTCTTATATAAGTATTGTTACTGTTATATTCACATATCTTCTTCCAATAAATAAAGTAAAAACTTTAATTATTTATAAAAAAAATAGAATATTATTATTAAATTTAAATTTAAAATAAGTGTATGCACATACATTTCAATTCATATTTACAATTTCCATAAAAAATTAATTCCCCTGATCTTTAAAATTATTTTTTATGTATTCGCTTATATGAATTACTCCAGAACTTTCGGTTGCAATATAAAGATTACTTCCACATACTCGCTTCCTATTTATATGTGGATTATGTAATTCAGATATTAAAGTACTACATGCTGCAGCAGAATCGCCACTTGATTTTAGATATTTCTGAAGATATGTAGAATTTAAATACTAATTTTAATTACCAATTTAAATTTTTAATTCGTTATTACCATCCAAAACTCATTTCCAGGCAAAGCGTTACCATCCCAAGCGTATGACACAACAGGTAAGCAATTTGTCCATACTCCATCCTGTAAAAAGAACAAGGTAAGCACGAAAAAAAAAGCTAACAATTTTTAAGAGATATAGTACCAATTTCTGATGTGGATTTCTATTAGATATATAAATTTTTATCCCCCCATTAGGATGAGTTTCACTAACAAAAGTTGCATTGTTTTTTAATTCTTTGTAACCTCCTTCTTTAAAATACGAAAAATGTATTACCGACACATGATTTAACTTTGGTAATAAGTTTTTTATTCGTTGCGTAAAAGTTGCTAAAAATACATCATCTTGTTCATCAAAATATTTCCAAACTCCTAATCCTATTCCAACAACATGAATATAAGCTTGTTTTTCAGATACACAAGCTCTAGCTTCAGCTTCCAATAAAAGAGTATCAAATGAAATTGTTAAACGCTTTTTCAAAACCAAATTATCAACAAATTCATTTTTTTCCAATTTTCCAAATCTTTTGTTATTACAAGCTTTGATTTCGTCATAAAGAAAATCCTTTTCCTCACCATAAAAATCATTCCACATTTTTCTATAATCAACTTTCGAAGTTATTTCATTTTTATTACCATTGAAACCGTAACTATTTTCTAAAGTATTTTGTTTTTCAGATATGATTATATCTTCAAATTCCATAAAATCACGCTGAACTAAACGTGGCCCTATTAATCCAATAATAATACCTTCTGGTTCAATTTTTGATTTATCTTTTTCAACATTTCCTATATTTTTTCTTTCACCATCGTTAATAAATTCGGTGCTAGATGAAACCGATAATAAAGCACCAAGCTAAAAATTTAAAAATTTCAAGTATATTATATGTACCTATATAAGAATAACGATTTGTAAAAAAAAATAAAATATTTTTATTTACCTTAGCTTCATCATAGCTTAAGCAATTTTTTAGAATTAAAGGAGGTTCTTCTTCTAATGTACCAACCGGTTTATGACCATTACAGCCAATCTCATTAGAAATTAATAAATATTTATCGTATTGTCCAAAAAAGCTAACACATCTTTTCGTTAAAAGACGATGTACAAAACTTATTAAATCTAAATTTGAGTATACTTCTTTTTCAATGCTATTACCTAAATCCAAAAAAAATATCAACATTTATTATTTGTACTTAAGTGTACAGGTTTTTTAAACTTTCATAATTATAGTAATTTATAATAGGTAGAAATACCATATTTAGTTTTATGTTCCAAAAATCTGGTATACAGCCAAACAACTCTTTCATGAATTACTGGATAAACAGAATTTATTTGATCTTCAATTATATTATATCTTTCTTGAGGCTGATACTCAACACGACAAGAATTAATAGGAAACTGCAAAATAAAATAATGATTTAAAATAAAACCAAATGAAAATAATAGAATTTCATTTAATTTTTTATTGATAAATATGTAAATACAAACCTCAATAGGAAAATTCTTGGAATTATTAATAATTTCATTAACCTTAACACGTTCAATATTTTTTTCTAATTTTTTTGCATCTTCCAAAACACTTCGTTGAAACTCAGAATATTTTAATTCATTTTTTCCGGGCCAGTTTTCATTAAATTCCTTACAAACTTGAGCACCCATTTTATATCTGTTATTTATTCACACTGCTTAATTCACTAGAGATAAAATAGAAATAATTTAAATTTAATAAAATTCGTACTATAAATACCGATTTCAATCAAAGCTGTAAAACAAGCTTTTAGTCAATCTGATTTTGTATACTATGCGGCATATTTTATTTGAATGAAATTACACAAATTACATACAAATTTTAATTCTTCGTGCATATATATTTAATACAAGCGTGTGATTATAATGTATACATACATTTATGTACTAAGTAAGATTTCATACGACTAGCTACATTTATTGCTACCTACTAAAGTTTTAAAGCCTAAATTTAATTGTAAATTAAAATGAATAATGGTATCTGCCTACTTACACCTATATATCTTTGTTATAGTTGTAAATATAGAATTTTCAAAAATATTCCAATAGGACATTCTAATAGGTAAACAGTTAAAATGCAACAAGTAAAAACCAAACAAACAATTTTGTAAATAAGCTTTTACAAAATTTTCGCGAGGTAGTTTTCAGTGGATAAATAGGAGTATTATGACCTGGTTATTATATAATCGATATTATATTCAAGCAAAATAATTTAATTAATTTATTTAAAATAATTCTAGTAAAAGTTAATCATTGGACTTTTAAACAAATGTAGGTATTTAGCAGATAGGTAGAAAATATAAAAATTGCAGCTTTTATGTGTACATAAATTTATAACACCTTACGTTATTCCTTACGTTATTTACCGGTTTACATGTATCACTTTGAATATTATTAAAAATTGTATTAAACCAATTTGCCGATACAATTTGTTTTATATTGACTTGCTCATTTTACAGTTAATTTTTTTTACAATTTTCTTTAATTTACAAAACATTGTTTTTGGCAAAATTTGCTCAGCTGATTTTTATTTATAATGAACATCAAAAGTTTTTTATACAATTAATGAGCTTTTTAATACTGAAGTTCTGAAATATTAAAGTTAAAAAACTTGAACACAAGAAATATGTCAGGGGTAATAATAGGTGCAATATGTTAGTACAATAAATTGAAATATGTCAAAATAATTTAAAATATAATTAAAGCGTAGTTAAAATAATAAATAAATGTACTCCATACATATATACAAATAAAAATATTTACAAAAGCTTACTATATCCAATTAAGAACGTAACATGAAAAATTATTAAAATTATGTTTGCTGTTAAAGCTTATTCCAATTCTAATAATTTTTTCTTTAAAAATATCAAAATTATAAAACGACAAAATTATTTTTTGAATTCTAATTTTGACAATTATTTCTCTATTGTGAATAATTATTCAAAACTATTTCTTATTTTTCTTTGTGTTCACCCCTAGTAAAATTATAGAAATGTCAAGATTAATACAATAACTCAATCATCAAATCAGTCCCAAAGAAAAATTTAGTGAAAATAATTAAAATGTACAATAAGATAGCGTTAATTACGATTTTAATACTTATATTAAATTGTGTAAATGTAAGTTGAAGATTTTTAAAAATAGATTAATGTAATGCTAATTAAAACATATACATGTATGTGCATGTTTGGAATTGAAGGGTGACACCAATAATACCCAACAACAACAACAAACAAGTTCAACTCAAGTAAAAACAGAATCGCAATCTTTACAAGATAAAAATAAAACTTCAAGTGTAAGTTCACCAACTCCAACAACATCATCTAGTAGTTCTATATCTAATGCAACAGCTGAAAAATGGTAAAAATATTGAATATTTTAATTAAAAAGAAATCCTAATATTAAATTTTGAAGTTCATGCGATGGTGGATTAATACCAAGAATTGGAGAAAACGGAAAAGAACTAGAAATTTGTCCACATTGCAAATGTAAATATGAAGACCGTAATTCAACACTGATTAAAGTAATACTTTAAAATAAAAAAGAAAAATTTTAAGTGAATAAATATTTAATTTTAGATTGTTGTCATTATAGTTATTTGGGTAATATCGATTCTGGTTATTTATATGTTATTCTTGATGTGTTTGGATCCATTACTTAATAAAAGAGTGAAAGCAAATTATCAGGAACATACAAACGAAGATGTAGATATTAAATATAATTATATACAATATAAATTGCTAACAAATACAAAAGAACCCGATATATAGCACGCAATATTTTTATAGTCATTTTTTGTGTTTTATGTTTTGGGTTTGTTCTTTTCATGATTTTTCTTTTGTATTAATATTTTTATATTTATTAAAAAAAAAATCTTTTTAATTTAACACTTTTTTTTAATTACTTTTTCTTACATTGTATTTTGGGTCATTTACAGTATAACAAAAAAATATTATTTCAAATTAATTAAAAAAAATGTTTAAAAATATTCGATAGGATGACACAGCATCAGTCAGTGGGCCACAATTACAACAAGCGAATGCTCAGGAGATGAACACTCGTGGCAACTCCAGTAATGTTTTAAATCGAGTTGGCCACCAGCAAGATAAATGGAAGAGGCAAGTTCGTGAACAAAGGAAAAATATTTATGATAGGAGAACAATGCTTAATTGAAATTTTCGTTTATGATAAACTCACTATATTAAGATAGCAATTATTTTTTAAGAAATCTATGAAAAAAATATTTAACATGCGAACTATAAAAATACTTTGAATTTGTAATTATAGTATTAAAAATGAAAGAATCTATGAAAAGTATATGTGAAAGTTTGTTTAAATTTTTATCAAAATATTAACAAGTTTTGCAAGTTACGAGTATATTTTTGAGCCATTGGGTGCATAGCTTATTTTTTTTTTTAAAGTATCTCATCCTTCTTAAAGGAAAACTATGGTATTTTTCGTTTTTAAATTATACATATAGTCAATCTAAAAATGGTTGTATTTTCTAAATATTCAAAAATTGAAATTTAGTTCAAGATCTAGTATAGTCATGGCTGTAACTAATACCAAAACAGCCAGTAAACGTAAGATGCTGAATACGGCTAAATTATGTTTTAAATAAACCTGTAACTTGAAATTAATGGATTAGCCTTAATTCTGTGTTTTATATATAAATACATTGTTAAAATTGAGTTAAATCGAGTTATTAGTAAAAGGGTTAAATATCATCTTAACTTTCTCCAAAAAAAAGCCATTTCTATATATTGACGTTGACAATCTTATTGCTATTTATTATACATTTACATTTTGGCCAAAATATCACATAAAAATAAAATACATAAACAAAAATTCGTTTGTCAAAAATTTTTAAAAATTTTATCTTTCAACAGAAAGTCAAATTACTTATTTTGTTTAAAAACTTGGCAACACTAAATATTTTGTATTGTTATTTGATTTTTCTTACTTCAATGTAAATTGTTTTTGTTTTGATAGATTAAAATTTTTTTTTATCGGAAAAGTGTCGGACGCCCTTGTCCAAATATTTTTTTAACTTTATTTTGTTTATTTATTAATTGTTTATAAAATTAATTTAAAAAATTTGAATCGGTTAATTAAAAAACAAAATTCTCATTTTAAAAACTTTTGCAAAAAATTAGAAAATTATGTTGAACTAGCAATATTGCAGGGAAAAGTTAAACAAAAAAAAAATAAACAATTTTTTTTTCTTTTGTTCTCATTCATTTGAATAATAAGGTAAAATTAATTTTATATTGAAATTTTAAAAAATATTTTTGATATGTATGATATTTGTATGTACAAACTTTAAATAAATTATATTTAAAAATTTTAGTTAAATTAGATGAAATAAGACCGGAGGCCATAAGTAGAAATGTTTACAAATTTTATATTCTTTTGGTTTACAAAACATACATACGAGTATAAGTCATTTATGATGGTAAATTGATAAAAATATTGGATAATACAAAATTAATAATGTGCTAAGGATTGTAAGCATTTAATTAAAATTAACAATTTGCGAGAGCAAATATTGTCAAGAATTTCTATTGAATATACTCAAAAACATAGCTAAGGTAAAATTTTAAAATTTATAAAAGAAAAATATAATTATGCTTATTTTATTTTTTAGATTTTGAAATGCATGTATTTCATGTATTTACTTACTCAATTTTAACCTACATTATTGTTAACTTATGTATACCCTGCTATTTTAATATTATTTTATTACTAATATCATTGGATAATCAAACATCTATAAAATAGCAACTAAACTACATACCTACCTACATAGATAGTATTTTAAACTAATATGAATGTGGTAACCAATATGAATGAATATATTGAAAACAGTATAATATATTTATAACCACATTAAAATTATTATAATATATCAATTGTTGCACGTGACTTGCTCGCGCAGATTATCGTAATAATGACGAGAAATTTGTTTTTTTTTTTTTCTGTTTTTACAATATTCTTGATTCTCTGTTTATTAACAGCTGTCAAAAACCCTTTTTTAGTTAGCGATCATCTTATAACAGAATAGTCATCATTCTTTAAAATCGCGGAAATTAAAAAAGAAAAAAATTTATTTTCCTCAAAAGATTTTTTGTTTTCTTTTTTTTTTTTCAAATCTTATTCTCCGCTGAACTACATATATTTTCATTGTAGCCTTTGTTCAATACTAGCCGGTAAATATGATTTTTTTGTTTTAATTTTAAATGGGCAGTAGTTATCAATATATTTAATACTTATATTTTTAAATTTTAATATTTAATTATGAATATTATTGTTATAAAGAAAGATATTAAGTCATCACTTAAGATTTTTAATAAAATAATGTAGTTAAACATTACGTTTATAATTAAAATTTTTAAATATAGAAGATTTGTTTAAAAAATACTTTGCTTAGAAAATTTTATTTACTTCATTTTTTTTGGTTTAAATGATTGCATAACAGTGTAATTTTTTATATTCAAATAATATTAAAATAAATAATTTTATTATTATGAAAAGTACCTGTTATTTAAATGAATTAATTTTTTAAATTAAATTATTAAATTGTTTTGTAAGAATTTTAAAATTTTTGTATATATTTTAAAAATTATAGCATTAATGTTAAAATTATTTATTTTTCAAATAACATGATGAAATCTTCAAACTTTTCCTCTTACGCAACATACATGTTTATAAATATAACCTATACGTACATTATAAACTATATAATATATAAAATATACATATAGACTATTATATATGCTTAAATTTATATTTAATACACAATATACAATATATAGATACCTAAATATATGTAAAATTAATTTGTTTTCCTTATATCATATGCAATATTTTCATAAAATTAATTATTATTTTTATATTCATACAATATACATAGATACCCATGGTATGAATACTTACCTATATTTTAAATGCAAACAAAAAATTTAACCAATATTTTAAATATAAAAATTATTAATTTTATTTTTCAGTTTTATCATTGGGCATATCTAGACTAGATAACAAAGATTATTTCGCAAAAGCAATAACTGAAAAGAGAAAATACTGAATGAATGAAAAAATTTGATGATTACATTGTTTGTTTTTTTCTTGAATAATTAAAAATAAATTCATAAACGTAAATATAATGAAATGAGCATATAAACAAAATTCAATTTTTCGTATAGGAATCAAAAAGAAAGAATCAAAACAAACAAATAATTTAAAATATACATAGCTACATGGAAATAGAAGAGGAGAAGGAAAAATGAAGTAGTTTAGCGCATTTTATTATTAATTTTTCGTTTTTTGTTTTTATTTTATTTTTTTCACTATTTGATTTCTTAAAAATATAACAGCAAAGAAAATAATGTGCACAAAAATTATAAAAAAATTTCAATATAAATTATATATTGAATTTTTGATTATGTTGAAACAGGATAAAATTATTTAAAATTATTATTAAGAAGAATAAAAGAAAATTATTAAAAATATTATTGGCGCTTTTTTTTGAGTGTCATGGCGCTTTTTAATAAATTTTTCTTTTCCTCATCAAATAAAAAGAAATGTTCAAATACAAATCAAAACAATTTTAGGTAAGTAGCTTCATTTAAACTGTTAAATTACTTAAAATCTTAAATGATCATTTTTCTTTTCTTTCAGTCCTCATTTTCCGTTTGATTCAAAACAAATAAGAATTTTGTTATATCGTGAATGTGATTCAAGTGGCAGACGATTACTTTTTGATTCAAATTCTATTCAAAAAATTGAAATAAATGAAAAACAAAATTTAAAATCAAATTTACAAAGTAACAAAGCAAAATTATTGGGGAATTTAAGTAAACCAACAATCAAAAACGAAAATCATCTAAACGATGGAAGCTTTATTGAAATTGCTAATGGAATCGGTTATAAGGTAAAAAAAATACATTTAAGATAACGGATTTTACGTGTATAAATTTTTAATATACAAAATTTAATTCAACAGCACATACGTCCGAATCCTTCAGATATAACAAATATTGGAGAAATGGTATTTGGTGCATTAGCAATGTCATTTCGCAGTCCTTCTCTAAAAGTACATTGGTTACAAGCACCATCGCGATTACTTTGTTCTCAAGTATTTTTATCACCAATACCGGGAACTAATACTGGTTGTTTATTAAATCAAAGAGATTTACTCAGTAGTTCATCTACTATCAATAGCAATAATAATTTGAGTCCAAAAAGAAATTTCAAAAAAGATACTTCTGAATCATTTGATGGATATACAGTTAATTCACTTTCTTCTGCACTTTATAGTCCAAATGAATATAGTCGTAATTTAAGTATGCAATTATCAACATTACCAACTATAAAAGATAGTAATTTAATACAAAAACGTACTGATCAATTGATAATAAATAAATTGAATACTCCATCAGCCGATGATGTAACACCAAATATAATTGGTTCAGATTCTGGATATGCAACCATAAGTGATTGTTGGACGTCCCGTTCATCATGTCAGTATTCGACTAGAAGTAGTATGGGTTCTGTTTTAAGTGATCCATTATCAACATATGATAGTTTAAGAAAATTTAGTTTAGATTCTGGTAAATCTAATTTTGGTGATTGTGGAGTAATTAGTAACAGTTTTGTTTCCTCATCTTTTTCAACATCTACACAACAAAATTCAAAAGCCAGTGATATGAGTATAAATAGAAGAATTGCACGAAATATGCAAACATCATTTGAAAATCGTAGTTCAGTTTGTGATTTTGTCGGTTTTATTTGTGATAATTATCAAATAGCTGCACCAATAGGCGGAAGTGAAGGATGCTTTACCAATAAAAACAAAATTTCAAAATCTAATTCAAAACAAAGTCATAGTAGTCCTGAAATATGCAAAGATAATGCGAACTCTTACAATAGTTTGTATAATTTTTTTGGAGTTTCAAGCAAGACATCTTCATGCAAGAGCAATAAAATTAATTCAAAGAGATCGAAACTTGGTTTGGCTGTTTGTATATCTATGACTGAAAACCATGAAAAGGAAATGGAAGAATTTTGTTGCGAGCATATAGCTCTATTAGAATCAATGCTTTCTCGTTTAAGAGCATCTGTCGAATATGCGTATTTAAATCACAAAAAATTTTTAAAAGTAATATTTTGCAATAAATATATATTTGTAATTAAAAATAAATAACAATGTGATTTTTTTAGATAATGTTACATGCTTGGCAAAAAACGGTTGAATGGATTTTGGACTTTTTTACAGTTTCACGTTTAGTAGTTCCAGTTTGGCACAGTTCAACGTTCGAAAGTAAACTTTCTAAACATACAGCAGATAATTTTGTGAAAGAATTTTCAAGTCTTCTAAGAACTTTAGATTCTAAAGACACAAATTTGTAAGGCTATATTGATATTCAAATAGAAATTATAATAAAAAAACAAACAAAATTTCAGTTTTATAAGCACAATGGTTACTGCAGTTTTAACTTATCATTTAGGATGGGTTGCTACCATTACGTCTATTTCTTCTCCCTCCACCGATTTTTCATCAAATACAGAAGGAGAAATACGTAATGAAAAGCAAAACAATTTGAAAAACGCAGCGGAGCAATACCCATATAATCCATTATGGGCTCAAATGTGCGATTTATATGGTGCAATTGGAAGTCCACCCAGAGTGTCACGCACTATTATTTCTGGAAAAGATAAAAATTTAATGGAAAAGTTTTTACACGTTTTGGGTTATTTTATAAGATGTGGAGAAGTTCATCGCAATGATATAAAGAGAGAATTAGAAATTAATTCGGCAAATGAAGTTTCCGTTGACAACACATCAAAATATAAAACCATTGATGATATGAAAAAACCTGCAAAAGCGTTGGGTCTTAGTAGAAAATCGACTTTTCTAAAAAATCTCTCAGAAATTTCGTCATTTGAAAACACCAAAGTTGAAGATAATCAAGAAAGTTTTAAACCAAATTGTTCAGTTTCTCCACAGTTAAAATTTGATAAAAGAAACTTAAGATTTGACAATTTAAATAATTACGATAACAATCCTTTTAAAAAATCTGAATCACAAGAAAAAATTAAGGTGACAGTTACAACACCTGAAGATATTGAGATGTCTTTAGATGATGAAAGTTTTTCCACTTATTCAAGTAATTCAAATATAACTCAAGACGGAGAAGCTTTAGAAGCTATAGAAATTCAAAATTCGTGTGAATGTGAATGGAGTGTAATCAATAACTTAGAAACTTCTACAATAGGAAAACTTAGTTTTTGGAAATTGGAACCAGAAATCAAAGAAGGTATTAGTTGTATTGATGTATCAAAATTACAACAAACTATTAAAATTAACGATGGTTTTTATGAAGTGACAAATTCCAAAAGTGTAACTACAAAATCAGAATATTATGAAAATATTAGTTTAGAAAATTCAAAGTCTGCTACTAGACCTATGGGACCTATAGATGAACATATATATTTAGAGCAACAAAAACACCTAGAAGTTTCGAAAGAATTTATTAAAAATTTTAATTCAGAAAATTTCAAACAGAATGAAAAAGAAATTGTTCATCAAGAGAAAACTGAGGGTGTTCTTTTTGTACTAGGGGAAGATGACCATCTCGTAAATATTAAAAAGAGCAATGAAAATATTGCAATTGAAGAACATAGACCAAAGAATAAACCTACAGCGGGTAATTACAGTAAAAAACACTCTGGTGTAAAATTTAACATAGAAGAATATTCGGAAAGTGTTAACAAATTATTAAATAAACAAATTGATTTTCAATCTAAAATTGTGAAAATTGAAAAACCTTTAAATAATGATTTTTGGACAAGGTGTACATGTGATAGTAACAATCATACACTAAGTACAAGCTCAACTTTTGATCTCAATAAGAATAAATCACAAAATAATATTAAAAATCAAAAACAATCCTCGAATGCTTGTGAATTTTGTAAAACAAATATTGGGGAAACAGCCAAAACTAATGATAAAAATATACATGTATCATATGATGAAAGGAAAGGTTCAAATATGAAAAATAAATCCGGAGGGTCTCGAAAAAATTCAGGGAATTCACCTGTAAAAAAAATTGAACTTCAAGATGACAATATAAGTGACCTTCCTATAAGCAGTCGTGGACTACATTTAAAAAAAATGTTTCATAGTTTAAAAGAAAAGAGCAGAAAACTAGAAAATTTTAATTTCAAAATCTTACCTATGCCTCGAATTGAAAATTGTAATGAAAAATCAAATTTAAATTTTAATCAAGCGAATAAAAATAAAAATTCGAAAACTGATTTTATTTCGTCATTGTTTGTCGGAGTAACAGATCGCTACATTCCTGATATGGTGTTACAAGTAAGAAATAATTATATTTTTAGTAAATTTTATATTTTTATCCAATCTTTTAAGGGTACTCTATCGTCTTTCGATTCATGGGAAACTAATATTAAAAATGATTTAGTTATTGCATCACACTGTGCATCATTAACAACGCAACCAACTGAAAATATCGCAATAATAGCTGATATGGATAAATGGGAAATAAAAATATTATCATCACAAAATTATAATTTAAGTTCCAAAAATGGTTCAGTTGGAATGTCACAATTAGTTTCTCAATTGTTGGAAGGCTTTTTAATTTTGAGTAATTCTGGAATTTCTTCGTTTGAAGTAATGAAATTTTTATATTTTTTTTGTACGTACTAATAAATTCGTATTTGTTATTTAGTGTTTCACATATTTGGAATCTAAATTAAAAGAAATATATTTACAATCCGAAGCATTGGCAGAATTTTTATTAACAAACGAATTTTGTTCTTTAAATTCAGTTACTACGGCATTAAATTTATCAGAAAATGATGTTCCTTTATTATTAGCTATTGCATCTATACATTCTCCACAGGTAACAAAACGATATGGAATTAGTTTTGGATGACCACGAATCAAATTTTTAGTTTTTAATTTAGATATTAAGAATTTTGAAAATTATACACTATTTCTGTATAATTTTATAAAGATGTAAAAAAAAAATATTTTTCTAAAACAAACAACATCAATTCTGATTATAAAATAATTATTAAAGTTAGGCTAAATTTAATCATTCCTTTTATATAAAAATTTCTAAAAAAAAAAACGAAAAAAAAAACCAAAAATGATTTACAAAAAAAAAATAAAATCAACCAATTCTGTGGTGGAGTTAGGAATCTGAGAAAGTAAAAAAAAAAAATGTATTAACAATATTAGAATTAAATATTTTGTGATAATTATTTTTTTTTTTTTTTAAATTAAATCGAACTGTAATATTAAGCAATAAAAATTTGCAATGTTTGTAAATGAAAATGCTCTCTTGATTTATTTATTTAAATTGAAGATAATATGAGATTTGTATACTTTAATTTATAAATTTATAATTTCGAAATATGTAATATGTGTATTAAATATTTGTGGCATACATATTATATATGTACATATGCATGCATTCACATTTAATAAAAGAATACATACAAAATACAAAATTTAACTAAAATTATTATTGTATTGAGGAAGTAAGCAAAATAAAGGAATTTTTATTTTGTTACTTTTAATATTCATTTTAATTTAATTTTACTTATTTCTTCAAAAATACAAAATAATAAAAATTTTTTGATATTAGAAAATAATTTTTGCAGTTTAACATTACAAAGAAGTATTTGTTAGGGTCCAGTATTAGATATGTAAGAAGTTTGATAATCAGAAAACTACGCAAAGGTGCAATTGCATTAATTGATTTTTGATAATTCAGCTATGCACTTAGAATTCTTTTTAAATCTTAAAAAATTTTTCTAGTATCTTGATTCTACAGGAAATAACTAGTTTATTTTTTCAGATTTTTAATATTTTACATATTTTCTATTTGATTTTGTTCATATTTGAATATTTTTGCAGCATTTCAAAAACTTCAAAAATACTTTAGAGCTGCTATTTATAAATGCGAACCTGCTTTTTTAGTGGTATACCTTCACGTACATGCTATGGTGCTTTTAAAGATTTTGTAGTTTTGATCCTGTCAAATGTGATTTATATTAAGATCTAAGCTAAAATTGAATTTTCTAATGTTGCAATTTATTTAAAATTTATTTCGACTACAAAAAAAAATTATTTTAAAAGTTTTAAATTTGTACTAGCATACTATCAAGTCAAGTTTCAGTTCTAGTCACAAATTTTTAATACCCCACTTAAGCTTTCGGTTCTAGCTGATAAATGTTAAATAACGCTGCCTTGTGAATATTAAAACAATTCATTGTTGAGTCCAGATTTTTTTTTTCAAATAGTTTATCATTTAACTTGCTTTAAAAACTTTTATTTTCTATTAAATGGTGAAATTCTGTTATGTATTTTGTAAATATTAACGTAAGTAAAACCTAAATAATTTGAGATTTGTAATTTACAAAATAAAACAAAATCCTAAGTATTGTAATTAAAATATTTTTTTTTTTCAGTTTATTTCATTTTTATTTTTAAAGTTCTTGTGCGAACAACGTTCATAAATATAAATATAAATATTTATAGATACATCTATATACTACAAATTCACAAGTATAAATTAAAATATATTATATAAAAAAGAAAAGAAAACTCATTAAAATTAAAAATTCAAAACTGTTCTAAAATTATGAAATTTGTTATCAAGCTATAAACGTTTTTCTTATTTAACATTTAAAATAACTTTTTTTTTCTTTTTTCGTTAATTGTTATTTAATTTTAAATAAAAAAAATCTATTAAATTTTACTGTACAATCAATTATTTTTCCCTTTTTATTCAATTATTTTAATTTCATTGTTAATGCCATACATCACACACTTGGTACAAAATTGTGAATTTACGCCTATTCTACAATATACTAAAATTTTAGAAGATTTGCATTATTCCTAAATTTAATAAATTTAATTTGTTGTCGATTGTTATATATAATTCAAAAGAACAAAAAATATATTTACACAAATTTATGTAAATTCAAATTTTTCACTCAATGAAAGCAAATATATTGTAATTTACAATATAGGTAAACTAAATAAGATATTTTGGAAGATTTTGGAAGCATTTCATGTTCATAATATGGAAAAAATTTTTTACACACATGAAATTATTATAATAGTGGTTATACATTTAGTAAATTAATATAATTTTAGTGGACACTAATTAAATAATTTATGATTTTTGCTTTCTTTTTATGAATTTTATTCTCTTTCATAAAATATTACTACAATATTACAATTTTTTAAAATAATTAATACCCACATATTCTGTTAGCCGCGTCACTAATGTGATGAAAAAAAAATATATCATGTCCCCAAATACATCATGGGGGGGGGGGAATTAAAAAATGGTATTAGGTTAACTTCCCCCAGCATTTTAAAGAAATTTTGTATATATGTATTTAAATATTACAATAGAACGTATATTTCTTTTTTAGATTTCTAAAATATTTCAAAATTTCGAAAAAAAAGGTTTAAAAATTTTACTTGAGAAACTTGAAAACATTATTAGCAAATTAATATTTTTTTAAGTATCCCGAAAAATATTTGGCTATATCCGAATTGTCTACAATTAATTTTATTAGAAGCACAAATTGTTTGTATTTATTATTTTTTTTTGTTCTCTAAAAATGCAAAGAAGATTTAATTATAAATATAAAAATTAATAGCGTAAAATTTTTAGTATAAAATTACATAATTCAATAATTTTTATAAAAAGTAGCTTCGTCGATTTTTGCTTTTTTTATTATACATTTTAATAAACATTTAAACTAAAAGACCTTGGCGTGATGATCTATCGAATACAAATATTGAGGTGACAAAAAATGACTTGTGAAAAGTCAAAAAAAAAAAAAAAAACGCAATGATTTTGACATTCGCCATCACGTCAAAATTGAAATCACTTTTAATTATCACGAAAATAGGACTTAATAGACGTGATAGTATCACTTAATGCGATAATTGCTTTCGATACGACTAACAGAATACGGATGAATATCTGTATTATGAAGTATAAAAATAATTGAAATAAAAAAGAATTAAATAAGATAAACCTACTCAATTAAAAAAATTAATTTTTCTATAATAAAAAGAAAAATATTTTTGTTTTTTATAATTTTGAAATAGCTATGTTTTATTTTTAAATTCAGTGATTTTTTTTTTATAGAAAATGGAATTTATGAAAATTATGGCATAGCGACAACTTGCAAGTTTTTTTTTTTTGTCTATATATTTTTGTTTAATTATGGCATATTTTATATTTTTTCTATAAATTTTTTATTAGAACAACATTTTTATACAAGATTTGAAGAAAAAAAATTCAATATTTTTTACATACTAGTTAAGAAAATTTTTTGTTTTTTTTTTTTTAATTTTAAAGCTTCCTATAATTATATTTAATAATTAATGTAAAAAGTGCATTGAAGAAAATTAGTAGGAAGAAAAATGTTTTTAAAAATTATAATTTGAATGTAGTTTTCAAGTACATATGAACTATCTTGTATATAAAAACAAAATTTTTACTATTTTTTCAATTTTTAACAAGAAATTTGGAATTTTTTTATTAATAATTTTTTTTTCCTCGTTTTTATTTTTTTTTGTGTTTTTCAATTTTTTAAAAAAATTGATCAAATGTAAATTATTTACAAATTTTCTATTTGTTCGAAAAATTGTTTTTTTTTTTGAACTTCAATTGCACTTACAGATTTTATGGTATTTTTGAAACAAAATTTGCTATTTTCTTTGAATAATGAATGATATGTTGTTTGTATTTTGTTTTATTAAAGAAAATCTTATTATTTATATATGATTTTAAGCATTATTGTGGATTTTCGATAATTCAGACATGCACTGGATGTTCTACATTAAATCTTAAAAATATTTTTAACACATATTTATAAATCTATAGAAATTGAATATTTTACTATTGCAGATCTATAACATACTTGAGAAATTCTTTATTATTCTTTAATCTAATTTTAAAGTTTGAATCGAACATGCTTTATAGTAAAACCTAAGCTAGAACTGAATTATCGAAATTCCCAATTATTATAGCTATTCTAAAAGTGAAAGAATATATTTTTTTTTATTTTTTATTAAACATAGGTTGAAAATGACAAGAACGATTTTTACAGATTTTCATCATTTATATAAATTAATTTAAATTGTATAAAAAAAAACAGAACAAGTTTAATATTTAAATTTTATAAATTTTCATTGTAATAAAAATATATCTCTTTTTTTTTTTTCTATTTCAAGTACTAAATTACATTATATTCGTATATTACAACTTTTTTTTTTTAATATTGTTTTATTAATTTTATTTTTTTAATTAATATTTTTTTATAATTCTTAATTTCTATGCAATTGAAGTTCATTTTGAATGTTTGTCCTTTTGTAATATTTTTATAATTATCTAACAAAATTTATAGAATAAATTTTAAAATAGAATTTATTTTAAAAAGTTTAAATTTCAAGAATTCAAGTAAAGTAAAAAAAAAAAGAAAAACAAAAAAACAAATTTATAAAAAAAAATAAATATATTTATGTACTTTTATTTTAATTAACATATTTGTAGCCTCCTACTATTCATAATTTATGAATAACGTTAACATCATTTTTCTATTATTAAAATTTAAAAATTTAAATATAATTGTGCTAAGGACTAAATTATGGTCTTTTTGTGTTTGGTTTTTGAAAAACAAGCAGCCAAAATTCTTTATTACTATAAAATTTTGTTTATTTCTATTATAATTATTTTCAAATTATAATTATTAATTAATTTTTTTTTTTCATTAAATTTTAATACTAAAATATTTCTATCTTACTTAAATATTATATTATTTTCGTATAAAAAACTGGAAAAAACTGGATATTTTGTAATTTAAAAAATTCAAACTTTTTAAATAAATTTTTTGTTTTTTATTTAATTAACTATTATAAAAATTTCAAAATTAACATGAATGATAACATATAATATTTTTTTTTAATAATTTAAAAAATAAGCATTTGAAGCACTTTTGTAATATGGGTATTTTATCAATTATATACAATAAATTTAAATATTATTATTTTGGTATATTGTATTTATAAATTTTTAAGATAAACTATATTAAAATTTAAAATAAAAATTCAAAAGGCACATAATCAAATTAAAAAATTTTTAATATTTAATTAGTAAATGGGAAGAGCATTGTGAAAAAATCGAATTGCAATTTGGATATTTGAAAAACTAGTGATTGGATAGTTTTGAAGAATCTTTCTTAATTGAATAATTTAGTAAATTTAAAATTAATTTCGAAAAATATTTTTAATAGTAAATGTGCTTTTATATTATTATGTTGGTTTTTAAATTTGTTACAAAATAATATACTTATTATATTCTTTTCACTTGCTTCTTCCCTTTTTATAAATTTATTTTCATTATCTTTTTGTAGTAAGTTCAAAATTTTATTGGATATACCATTGACCTGAAAATGTAATTAAATTCTTTTCAACATTTTACTTGCTTTTTTTTGTAATTTAATTATTATAGTGAAAAAAACTTGTTTTAATAAAAATTTAATTATATTTTGCCATCAATTATAAATTAATGTCTGTAATTTTTGAAAAAAAAGAACAATTTGAAAAATACGAAATCTTAATCGGAAACGCAAAAAGAACCATTTTTCAAAATTCTTAAATAATGTATTTTTAGTTCTTATATAATTATATAACATTCATAAATAACAAAATTATAAAATATGATTTTTTAAAGGTTTTTAAAACCTCTTTTAGTTTTGAATAATCAAAAAATGAATGCAAATTAAATAAAATTAAAGAAGTTATTTAGATTTTCTTATTTCCTTTTAAATATGATAACATGAAACGAAGAAAAAACAAATATGGCACATATTTAATTTCAATTTAATTTAAAAATTTATGGTCATAAATTGATTTTTTTTTTGTTTTTGTTTAAATAATATGTGCCAATTAATATCAAAATTTTAGATTATTAAATTTTAAGTAAAAAAGAAATTATACTTTTAACTATTTAACAATGGATAAAATTTTCTTTTATAATAGTGTAATGAAACGAAAAAAAACAATAATTTCAATAATTTTATTTTTAAAGATTTTTTTTTTTATAAAAAACAAAAAAAAATTTGTATTGTTGCTAATTTAATATTCTAAAAATATTTCTCTTTATTTTTTGTGTGTGTGTGTTTTTTGTTTTTTTTTTTTTGCTTTTAAAACTAATTATGTTTCTTTAAAGTCTTGTCATTTTCTAATCTATCTATTACTTTAATTAAATTTGGTTGTGAATCAGTACTACTTTTATCCTTATTTATTAAATTTATTTTAGATTTTATACTTTCATCAATATCTTTTGATATTTTTATTAAATCTGAATCATCGCCATTACTACAAATTTGAGAATATTCATGATGATGATGATGATGATGATGGGCAGATCGATGCCTTGGATGATTATTATCATGATGATCAGTCGTTGATGTAATTAATGGAATACTAGAAGATATTTGCTTTTTTAATATATCGGAAGAATTTTGTTCTTGTTTATTGGAAGTAATTATTTCTTCTTTTGGATAATCATAGTCACATTTTTGTTCTATTTTCATATTTAATTGGTCTTTGGCTTCATCTGTAATTAGTGCAGTAGATGTGGAAGATGTTGATGTAGCAGGTAATGGTGTAGCACATGGACATTTAATATTATTTTCTTGTTCTTGATTTGCTTTTTTTGTATTTATAAAATCTAATAACATATCTCTTCGAAATTTATTTAATAAATTATTTGTTAATGGTGTTAATTCATTTGTTGGAACCCATATTCTTCTTGCTGTTAACATAAATGAATCTTTTATGCATACTATTAAACAAAATAATTTTGATAATATTGTGCTTATATCATCATATTCATTTGGTACAATTCCATCAATTGAATTTTCAAAATATGAAAACATTGGAAACCATATCCTTGTACGATTTGAATCATGTGACATTAACGCCTAAAAATACATTTAAAAAAAAATTAAATATATTAGTGTATTTATATTAAATTAATTTTATAAAAATAAGAAATTGAAGAATTTTCTCCCAAAAATTGTTGAAATTACTTGGATGAATAGTATAATATACTTACTTGATTATTTGCTAACGTATGATAATATAAAAATAATCGTGAAGTTATGTAAAATGCAACAAAAACATCTATTGAGTAATGTTCATGGGCAGCTAATATAAAAAATATACCAAACATATTGAGCAACCATGTCATGGTATGTAAAAAGTATACATTTCTTGGTGTATCTAAAAATTGAAAAGAAAATAGAAAATTTTTTTAAAATATTCAATTAAATTTCAATATTTTAATAGAATAGTAATTAAAACTTACATTCTGTTATAAAGAAATTTAATAATGTTAAAGCTACAGTATGTCCACTAAACATATAATCACCACAAGTTCGAACACCTTGTATTGACATACCTAAACCACTCCATATGGTATAGGCACGTGCTACTCTAGACAAAAATGCTTCAGTTAATGTTAAACTACAACAATAATAAAAAAAATAAAATTTAATTTATTTATAAAAAACCAAATTTTGTATTTTATATATTACTTTGTGTCATCAACTTTATAATCATTTCTATCACATTGTAAATGAGTTCCTGGCACTGATAAACTTGTTATTAACATTGTAACACATCTTAATAAAAAAACTGTACCAGCAATACCAAAAAATCTTCTTAATAATACCATTCGATGTTTATGAAATATACAAACTATTGTCCATATTGAAAATAATATGGTACCAGTAATTTCGCACATATGAAATGCCCATGGTATATGAGGTACATTATCCAAAAATATATCTGGTAATGGTGGATATCGTTTCATATCAGGAACTCTTTCATGTACAACAACCATAACAAATGCCGTAATCCATGTTACTAAAAATGAGTAGCCTAAAATTAAAAAAAATTAATTTAAAATTTTTGTATATGTATGTATAACAAATAAATAATATTAATAAATTAAAGTCTTTTCTATTATACTCAGAAGACAAGACATGGAGAGCTCGATGAATAATCTCACCACACTTACAATGTAAGAAAATATGTTTTAATAATTTTTAGATCTAATCATATATCAGAATATTTTTTAAATCATAAAAGCTAAGTGTTAATAAATTGGAAAGGAATTGAAATTAATGAATAAAATATTTTAATTTCGCTATAAAAGTCTTATGTAACCTTCAATGAAAGCAGTACTTGTATTCAATTTTAAGGGTACATAAATAATCCTGAAAAATTTTGAATAACCAGCACAATTACGTGATATCATTTTAATTTTATAATTATACCTTTCAAATTTATGAGTTATTACTAAGGCTCCCTATCTAAATAATTAGATTTATATTTTATACTTTCTCAATAATTTATTACTTTTTTATTGCTATATTTTTTTTCCTACAATAGAAAATTGATCATGAAAAAGTACCTATTTAAAAATGAGGCGGCCTAATATTAATAAGGTGCAGTTAAAATTTATTTGCTATTATTATAGAACACTTATTGTGCGTGAATAATAATTTTTAAATTTTTTTAATTCAATTAATTTAATATATTTTTTAAAATTTAATTCTAATCACAATATAACACTTATTTAGTATGGGTACACCTGGCTAGTCCCTGATACGTCAAACAATTAATATAAAATTTAATATAAGGTTAAATTCAGTACAAAATAATTGTTATATATAGAATTTAGACAAACATATATATATATATATATATATGCCTCAAAATTACCATAATAAGTATGGTTAAATGTGTCTATAAATATTACTTGCAAATATTCAAAATTTTTACGATTTACTTACGAATATATAAAATTTTTACATACACAGTTAAGAATAAAAATGTATAAGTGGATTTCGATCAAAATTATGGTATTGTGTCATATCACTTACTATCGTGATAATTTTCTCTATACACCATTTATCTTTAATATATGGAATGCAGTTTTTATACTCATACGACCGTATGTCCGAAAGGTATTATAAATTTGTCATTCCATAATGCTTAGAAATAACTGTCTCAGATATATGTATATGCAACTATATTATGTTTTTGATCAGCATCGAATTCTGAGTCGATCTAACATTGTTGATTCGTCCGTTTGTTCGTCGCAACAATAACTCAATGAGAAGTGGTTTATTATTACTATAAATATTAGAAACCTATTATAATTGTATGTGATTCGGGTAGTGGTTCCGTTAGCTACCATATAATTTCAAAAGTTATTTAACTATATCTCAGAAAATTATAGAAACAATACAGTATTCAAATTTTGCATAAGCAAATATTTTATTAGGGTTGTTATATTTTGTAAAACTAGCTCATAAATCTTGACTTGTCACGGAAGGTGCCATACAATTATTGAAAGTTATTTGGTCGTATATTATGGAAACTATTGAAATCGAATAGTGTTCAAATTTTGTATAAACGAATGTGGTAATATCGAAATTATTACACCACTCTTAAAATCACACATTCGTACGGGTATCATGATCAACTCTTTCTATTCTCGTGGTTTTTTTCTTGACAATTGATTATAACAATTAAAATAATTATTGAAAAAAAATTTTAGATCATGAACCTCATTTCATGAAGGTAATAAAATATTTTATTAATTTTCAAGTTTTTTTTTTTTCATAATAAATTTATGATTAACAATCATAAGACAATCATAACAATCATAACACTGTGATAGCATTTAACATTAGTTTGCCACATTAATCAAATTTAAAATACCTTGTAATTCAGTTAACATTTGAGTATAGATGGATGTATGTACACATATAAAAGTGTTATTGTAATTACATTTCCTTTTTCGTGTTTCACTCATTTGTTTACAATATTATTTTACATACATACATACACACAAAGTTAAATTTATTGTGTATTTCCAAATTGTTTTGCTATTATAAACATTCAATAAACATAATATGGGGTTTAAGGTCAATGAAGGTCAATAAACATTTTTATTGACAAAAAATCAAGATAGAAAAAAATACATACATACATATATACTTATGTAGGTATGTATATATTTTTAATACTGATGAAATGTTGTTGTTTTCTTGTTTTTTTTTTTATTTGTTTTGCAATTTGATGCCAAATTTACATAGAGTTGAAAATTTGTGTATACCTATGATGGGTAAGTGTGATTAAGTCTTAATTAAGTACGCCCTTATCATGTTACAAAAATTTTTTGATAAAATAAATTTCCTGTAATTAGATTTTAATAAACGCATCATTAATTTGACAATATAGGTAAGTAAGGTAATAATTATTAATTAAACAATGTCTATGTATGTGGGGCGGCTATGTAGGCACTTAATTTTAATAATTTTCAACACAATAAAGGTTAAAATCAAATACAAAAATTGAAATTGAATTTTTTTGAGCTTTGTTTAATGTAACAATAAAATATGGCAGGCTAGTCACCTACCTAGTTAAAGCTCTGTGACGCAATGAAACTGGGGCAAGACTCTATGAGGTCATGCAGTAGCCCTATGCTCCTCCTACGAGTGAAAAACCAAGAAAGAAAAAAACAATAAAATATGAGAATTGGTTAGCGCTTTTCTGGTAAATATTTTTTTTCCCAATTTAGATGTAAATTATTCCTGTAATTATAACGGGAAATATTATAAATTTTGTTATTTCAGGAATAATATTGAAGATATTTAATTTGGTTTTGCAGACATAACGTATGTATGGTATATAGCTATGGGGTTGTACCAAGTAAACATAAGTATATCAAACAAATGCCAACTTTCCATAACAAGGCTCTTCATGCTTTCTGGTATGCACACAATAGCATTATTCATAGGAATTTCAGAGTCCCCGGAATAAGTGATGAAATAAGGAACTGTGACATGAAGCATAGGACGTTTTTGTAGAAGGATGTAGATTTATGAGGCATTTCGATTTGTAGAGGAGAGAGTTTGAACCGAAAGGACACCTTTCGATTCAGCCTAAATTGTTGAAACCGCAACTCCGTGCCTTCCTTCATAAAATATAGACACAAAAACAAGATAGAGCAAAATTAATGGTTAATCAATTTGACTAGTTTTAGGAAGTAATCGGTGATTACCTGTTGACATACCTTACGACAATTCTAATCCGTTCTTTGTCAACTGATCATTTTGAATGCCTGTACTAAAAAATATTAAAAAATTCAAAATCATATCATGCCAACTATAAATATTAAAATGTTTATTTAATCACGTTTCCCTAATGTTTTATTATCTCCCCATAAAGTAGTTCACAATGGCACACACAAATAATGTGAATGTGATAAATTTATTAAAGTTTAAGTGTGAAGTTAGCACATAGTCATATACACTTTCCAAAACTAAAAAATTAAATAAAACAAGAAATTTACAAAAAACAAAATACTTTTTACAACAATATTGAATTTCATGAGTCCTTTGGGATATAAAAACAAAAAAAAAATGTTTAAATGAATTTTAAAAATTTATACAAAATGATTATTTGAAAATTAAATTAAAAATTTATTTAAACTTTTTTGAAATTTAATATACAAACTTTTACATTTTTCTCACTTGCATCTTATACTCTTGTAATAAAATTCTTAAATAAATTTTAATATTATATCTGTTATACATAAACTTTTTTATTCGAATATAGGTATGAAACTTTTTATTTAGAATAAATAAGACTCTATATAAGTACATACATATATACTCTTTACACTATATAGAAAATCTATAATTCTCATAAATTTTATCCCCATAAAGAGCAATTAAATTATTGTACAAAATTATTGTTAGATGTTGAAAAATTACAAGACATTTAAAATGTGCATTTGTGTGTCTGCTTATCTCTTTAATCGGTCTTAACTATATGCAGGGTGTTTCGTATCTAAATGCATTACCACATACAATTGTACAGACTCTCAAGAATAGAAGAATAGACAAAACTTTTGTATGGAGCTTAACAGGTTCCGAGTTATATGAAGTTAATGTTACTCTCGGCTGTTTTCTTTTATTTTTTTTGAAATTTGAAGTATAATTTCGTTCCTGTGACAGATAGATGTTTTATTAAATATAATTTGGAAGCACTAGAGCAAGGGCTTTCTCATGAAAATCTATACATTTTTTATAATTTCTCAGCGCTGCAGGTGAAGTGAATCACGTAACTTTTTATTTTTAATATTAATATATTTTATTTTTTTATGGTAACGTCAGATTTCAGCTCTAATTTTAGTATAGCAACCAACTTAATTAATTTGAGCTTTATTTTGATTTTATGGCTCATATATTCCTACATATTCTGGTTTAGGAGTTAATGAGAACAAGTGAAGTGTTACCAATTTTATTTTATAAACAACTTTTTTTTTTCAATGACTTAAAAAAATGTATAACAACAGTTCAAAATTGCATCTCACTTCTGTTATGGAAATATTCAACTTAAGAACCGAATTTCCCTTACATTTGTTAGAGTCAATGACTTAAAAATTATATGACGTCTTTCATTGATGCAACGCTGTAAGTCAGTTTTGATTTTAGTAATTAAAAGATATTATGTGTTGATATTCATAAGAAAACAGTTGAAAGTGACATTAAGCCCCTATAGCCAAGACCCTGTTGCACTTAAATACAAGACACGCTGTATTTTGAACATTAAAAGAAATTTTGAGAATATAGTAGGAGGAAATAGCTCAATATACATAAAAATAAATTAAAAATAAAATATATTTATTTTTTAATAATCTTTTAATAAATTTTTACTTCAAATTGCTTCATTACCATAATAAATCTATTATAATTATGTCAAATATGAAATATTCATGTTATACATATAATTTCTTATTTTTTTTTTTTTTCGTTCTGATACACAAACTTTTATAACACTTAAAATTTATAATGATATGC